GATCATAACCGGCGGTCCCTCAACCGGTCCCTACCGGTCCCGGTCGGTCCCGGTCCCTCTCCGGTCCCGGTCCCGGTCCTCCATCGGTTACGGGCCGGGCCGGGCCCATTTGGCCATCTCTAATTCGAACATTGGTGATAAACGACTAAATTTTAATGATTAAATTGTCATATATTTCATCCATAGTAATTTCTTTTGGTAGGGATGAGTTAAATGGATACCTACTTATTAATATCATTCTCAAACAAAATAATATCAAAAAAATTTATGTTTTTAATGTATGATTTGATCTGATTTTGATACAAGTAGATGTGCATACAGTATCCATTATTAAGTCTTCATAAACCACCATATACTTTGTGCAACCTTAATCTTTAACTAAATATATCAAAACATACATTTTTTTTATATCGCACATAAAAGTTAAGCAAATTCTTTTATTTGTTTTTGGACATTTTTTATATATGCATATAAGTGGGGTTGTTTCCATAAAGACTGCTTTTTTTTTTTTCCCCATTAAATCATGTATAGATTAAGTTATCTCTGTAACGGATGAGAGATCAATAGGTTTGAGGGAGGCAAAGAGGGTGGGTTGGACTATTTTTGGGGCATTTACAATATAATTTATCTGAGGTGGCTTAACGGGGCAAGTGAGAAGCCCTCACTTATTCCATATAGCCATTTTGGCTTAACAAATTAACAACTAAACCGCAAAGAAACACTATATTGCTGCACGAATAAGCCATCTACATTATTAAGCCCATTAAGCTGTAAGTAAATAGCCTGCTCCCTTAAATGCCAAAGATGTATCGAAGCACAACAGACCATAAATAAATTGCTCAGCGATCGAGTAACTAAACACCTGCGGTCTTTAACATATCGAAATTGGAAGAGATGGTTAACCAATTGGAAATCAGGTCACCAATATCATTCACATGTGAATCTGCTAAAGTTCAATCACAGAAAAGAGCATTCGGAAAGCTAAAACAATGAAATCTTAAACATCTGCAAGTCACGGGATGTATTTACGTACTACATTATTATTATAAAACAAGGTAAATACCTTCTATGAAGCAACAAATACTAAATCAAAGCAGAGAGTTGTAAACAGATGCTGCTTTGTTGAAAAAGAGGCTAGGTTAAAACAAAAAGGGCTGCATAACTGATTTATGGAACATTACCAAAAACCCCCCCCCCACAAAGGATGCCATGCCAGTGCCACCAAAGAAATCGTCGAGAGGGGGCGATGTTATTGTTAACTTAGCCATATTTGATTACTTCTTTCGGACCAAAGCTGCAGCAATCCCGCCAGCAATAAGTCCGACAGCAGCAGCAGTAATGCCGATACCAATCACACCATCTGTGTATCATTAATAGTGTGTTTATGAACATATGTTGACATATTAATGTCAATAGAGACAAAGACACCAAAGGGTCATTGGCCTAGTGGGTTAAGATCAAGGGTTCAAAGTAGTTGCTGTATAAGAATATTATATACTTCAAAAAGAGTACCTTTTGTAATGCGATCTTCAATCGCCTTCTTAAGTGACAAAGCTTGCCTCCAATCTGGCGCAATCTACGACCACACCATTGAATCAATCATAAAATGACCTTATAAGTATACGAGAAAATATTACCAGATAGACTAGACTGCTGAGATTAGGTAAACTATGAACTTTGCTGAGCATGTTTATGAGCGATTTCATGTTTAAAGAGTTATGTAGGTTTTGCCTCTCCCAAAGTGGATGCAAGTTAAATGCTTCTACGATGGGTTGTTAACCGCAATAATTCAACATGAATTTATATTTGTATTTGAAATATAGCTTTTTAGTTGATTCAAAGAATACATCATTTATTTTTCTTTGAAAAAGCATTAGTAGGGATTTAGCACAATTAGAGCTATCTTATGGGTATCACATGAGATAGCAGATAGGAGAAAATATACAATATGTTTGTTTACAAATTGTTCTTAAGTACTAACAAATTGTTCTTAAGTACTAATAAACTGGAAGTATTAGCTGAGATAAGAAAACATGCAATAGATGACTATGCATATACAGGCATTCACTGATTAGCAGCAATACTAAGAACCACAAACCATGTAAAAGGAAAGGAAGGTAAAATGGTAGATTGAGGCCATGATATAAAACAGAAGAAAGAGAAGAAACCTCTAAACATTGTTCAAGAAGCTGCCTACTCCTTGCGAAGTCACCGCTTCGGTAGTATCCAACAGCCATTAGATATTGTTTCTCTCTCTTTTTCAATGGGCTGCTGGTGTTGGCTATTGAAGCTGCAGACAGAAAGTTTCTATGTATTATGGGATTTTGAATTTACATGCTAGGTTTGAATCCAAAAGGGAATGCTCAAACTTCTAGCAGAGAAATGTATGATCTGCCTACTGATATCAGAAACCCAAAATAAGCAAGGATCATGAGCAAGGAAGTTGTGTATATACACACATCTACATGAAGAATAGATATAGCAAAGACTCAAAAGTACATGTTGATAATGAAATAGATGCGAAGTCTGCAAATTCATGTTCAATAACAACCCTTTCAAGTCCCCCAAATCAGATTGTTTATTGTTCCGAAAATTGTGCTAGAATGTCAAATGCTACCGAGGAAAGCTAAAACATCATAATTAATAGCCTGTTTGTAATGGCTTCAAATGCTTGTGATGCAAAAGTATGCATCCTAAACAACAATTCTGTCATTTTGATGGAAGACTTTCTTTCCAAATGCTATAGCTTCTTTCCAAGATTATAGCTCATTTTTCTAAGATTATAGCTCATTTTTCCAAGTGCTATGGCATCTTTCCAAGTTTAATGCTATAGCTTCTTTCCAAGACTATAGCTCATTTTTCTGGGTTAGAATCCTCTTCAAAGGCTGTAATGGGTCTACATTTGATACTGCACATAGACACATCAATGCAAGGGGGATTAAACTTCTAGGATTCAAAATCACTCAGTTACTTAATGCCATCTCTTCATGGATAATTTTTTTGAAAAAAGCATTTGTCCAAGTAAGGGCGTTATTCACATTGGCTGTGGCTTGTCTTACAATCTTCCTCCCTCCCTCTTTTTCTCAATATGACCTTCACGGAAATACTACGTTCTGGATGCTTCGAATATGCAAAGCTCCAAAACAAACATGATGACTACATATGTGGTCTATGGAGCATAATAAGTTTAAGCATTTTGAATTGCTGAAGATAGGCATATGAACAAGAGGTGATATTGATACGGTTATTTATTCATGTTTCAGCTTGTTCCTTGAAGTATTGGCCTTTGAACATTTCTCACACAGATGGAGAAACCAACTTTATGATACCTTTATGTAGCTTCAAGGACATGTACACCAAAAACTAGAAGTGAAGATAAAGATGTAGAGACAATTTTGGTTGAGAATGAACTTTTCCATGTTAGCCTTAATCCTCAGTGAGGTTAGAAGTAAATGACTGGATTCCCCCAACCACATCCCTAATTCTCATATATATCATGAAATAGCAATGGGGTGAAATGCCAAGTAGCAATTAGAAAATAGAGTAGGATCTACAATATTCATGAATTCAATAAATAAAAACCTCATGGTTTGGAAAAAAAATGATGTGTAGACTCTGAATGCAGCAGTAAGCAGAGATTATATCTATATGGAGAGAACGATATAACAGTAAGTGTTGTGCATATCCTCTCAAGGTACAAAGGCATGATCATATGGTATAAGAAGGGCAGAAATTGAAATTGTCAGCCACATAAAGGATGCCAAAGGTGAATAGTAACTCAGCCTAGGAGAATATTTAAGAATATCATGACAATGGAAATACAACATTACCATATACACCGATCTATATTACCTTCAAGCATCGCTATGCCACGCTGCACATCTTCTGATTGCCTAGAATGAACCAGTGCCCAAGATAACCGCATAATGCTCTCATTCTTTGCCTCATCAGAGGAATCATTTGCAGCCTCTGTAACTTCTTTCTCACACCCCTGTTAAACATTAGGACTCCTTGAGAGACAAACTTCTTGAGAAAGCACAGCAAGATAGTAAACTGGCAGATCAATTAACATTGATTGTGAAAGTAGAAAGCAGAAAGTCGAAGGTTCGTGTTCTTCAAGACTAAATTCATAGAACAAAAGGGTGATGGACTTCAAGATTGTTAAAAGGAAAGAGAAAAAAAATTACAGGCTTCGAGAATTAAAGTCAACAATGAAGTGTGAACTTCAACAAACAGAGTCAAGCTTGAAGAACAAAAGATCAACCAGAAGACAAAATGTCAAACTCAAAAGACAGTCTTGAAAATATCGAAGGAACAAAATCTGAAAACTAGTGCTCTGTTTGGTTGCATTGAATGATATGAAAAAGCAATAGAATGGTCCATTACCATTCCATTTAATATTCTGCTTGATGTTGTTGTTTTAAGGATGAAATGAACTAAATTAGAAACGTGACTATATGACCACTTAGATTTGTCATCATTAAATTACAGCATCCATTTCAAAAGTACCAACAATTGAAAGATAAATAATAATATAACCTCAAAAATTAATAAGTATTATCTTACAAGAAGATTATCAAAATAGTATTATATTAAATTGCAATATATCACTTAAATAATCATTTATAATTAAAAAGCCACAACATCCATATCAACTTCAAAATCAAACAACATAATTTATAAATTTATAAGTTTGAGGGTAAAGCTTCAAAACAGATAAGGTATTAAGATGGCTGAAATTCACGGTTGATCAAGAAGCAGCTTGTTGGAGGATAAATAACAAATTCCTCAATTTTTACACACAAAACAGACAATAATTAGTACAGTAACTTCAGCAAATCAACTAACAATCATAAAAGAACGAAAGACCAAGAMCAAGAACAAGAACAAGAAGATCTCAAATGAAGCGTCGACGAATTGATACGTCAAAACCTAGAAAAATAGAACATTTGTTGTTTTTGAAATGAATATTTATGTAATTATCATTCCATTGCTGGGTGGAACAAAGAAAAACATCTCTTCCCAATGAATTGAAGAACAAGGGATTTGATGGAATGAAACTAGTGACAAAATGGCTCATTCCATTTCCAAGTGTGTAACCAACTTGTAAGTTCAGAAGATAAAGATTTGAGTTCTAATGCTAAAGTGGAAAATGTGATAATAAGAACTGCTCAGTCCCAGTAATGACAACTAACTAAATCAGGTTATAAAACAAGTGATCTTCCAGACATGCTTAGGCAACAAACTGACAAGGTGATATTCGTGGTGGGATGGTAAAAAGATTGTCAATTAGGACATAACTCATAAGAAAAGCTGATAATTTTGATTAACCAGGGTGATCAAGATGACTGATAGAAGGATCTTGAGAGCACGAGTGATAAGGATATGGTAGCACCTTAGAAATAATAACCACATGCTTTGTGCTCTAGTGAGCACAAAGTAGACATCAATGACAAGTGCATGTTAATTAAAACTCATCTATAAATATGCTTTATCATCATTCAGGAAACACAATATTATAGATTATGAACCATAATCCTCTATGATACAAACCTAAATCGACGTGAAACAGGCAGCAAACTTAGAAGTTTGAATAATTCTGCTGTGTGATTATTATGAAGAAATCTATAAAAGAAGGTTGAAAAGAGGGAACCAACCATTAAATCGACAATTGTGGTAAGGGTCTAAAGCTCATCTGCCAAACAAGGTGCAAGGTTTCTTTTTAAGTTTCTCTCCTTTCTTTTCATGACAAACATCAAATACAGCGAAACCCGTGTATTTATATCATGGGTTCCTTAACTATTGGCAGATGGTCTCTTTTTTATCCATTCTGGTAGAAAGGTCCATGTGATCATAAGTCTCAAATTCACAATTGCTTGGTTCAAGAGACTTGATGAGTACCAGTCGAGCCAAGGGTAGAGAGTCTCCAAGGGCAGAAGAGTAATCCTATAATCTTCTTTTCCTAGTGGTAATGGAGGCATGCCATTGAAGGAGGGGAACTATATGGAAGCATGTGAAAAAGCTTTATGATGAAGGATGGAGTTAGAACAGAGGTGAACAGATCCTCTTGTTGAATGACTTACGTTTACATTTTTGTTGAGGAGCGAAAAAAGTAGTATTTTCAGAAATGCTATGTTGAAGGATGTACAGCCTACCACACAAATTTTTAGGTGTTTTAACAATTGCTTAACTCGTGCTAGGAGATTGAAACAACACAATTTGTTAGAGGTGCCTTTAGGAAGAACATATCTAAGATATTTCACCTGAAACATCATTATTTTGAAATACCTATTTTATTCTCAAATGCAGACAAAAACATCATTATCTTTTGGATTGACCCGACCAAATTATGTATGTTACTTTTTTGCTTCAAATTAGGCTTGTAGTCACTAAGAGACTGGGGATAGTTTATAAGGGATTTAGCTTTGGGGAGTGACATCGAGAACTAGGTTTCCAATACCAGTTCCAAATAGAGAGGTTTACTTTAGTATCAGATGATGGAAGCAAAACCTAAACGCTTATAGAAAATGTCAATGTCATCAATTGTCAAATGTAAACCATATGTAGACATGCATACTTGTGAATCATAAACACACACACACAGACATGTTGACATAAGACGTTATGGTTTCATACTTGAATCATGAACCCCAAAACCTTTGGTTCTCATTTTCTGGTGTAGTTGAAAAGGTTCTAGTCTCTAATTGCATATTGCTGCCCACATCCAATTTTAGTTCACAGTGACTCATAACATAAGGTCAAGCTATAAATAATCAAAATATATTAACAGATAAAAAATCAGTTGGTATTAATTACAAATCTTCAAAACAAGTCTTACTCCAATCATTAGCCTATGTTAACAAGAGCAAAAGATCATTTCAAAATACTATCGTAACGCCCAAGCAATACCGTTTAACAATGAAACGCTCGCTCTAAAAGTATTACATTTGTCGCTACCAAAAGCAATTTCACGGAACGAGAAAAATACACGGCAAAATCTTCCTTAATCATATTGATAGCAATAATCTTGTAGATATCAGGCAAGGGTGATCATAGCGATAATCAATCAAATAACCGGAGCGAAGCAATTGAAAGCGTGAAAATCGATAAGTTTTTTTACCGCAATGACATCGCGAGAGCACCACGGGAGCTGATCTCCGCCGGAGAAGAAGGAAGTGAGCGATTGGAAGAGGTGGCTCATCTTTGCTTTCACTCGTCACTAAACGTAGAAAGGAAAAGAGAAAAAGATGGCAGTTTGTGTATATATGTAGAGGTGTTCTTGACCGAGATTTGGAGCTGCGGTTTCAAAGTGAATTAGCGATTTCAAAGATCTGTTTTCATTTATGGTTTCATATTCTAATATAAATCAGTAGGGTTATGTGATTTATTAAAATAACCTTGGAAACTGATACATTATATTATGTATTATTTTATATGATATTTTTTAAAGAAATTATCTAAAATAATTATTTTATATATTTTGTATATTAATGAAATGATTATTTTTCAAAACATTTTCATAAAATGATCATTAAAATTGCATCTTAAAGGTAATTTTGACTATAAGGTATGGATGAGTCCCATATATATATCATTTGGGAAATAAAAATCAGATATTATATCTAGAAATGGACAAATCGTCTTCAAAAAGTGAAAATCGCCTCATTGGGGTGATTTTGATCTCTAATTCGCTTTCTAGTGAATGTAACTTATAATGTAACGATTTGACACATCAATGACGATTTTCATTGGTATTTTGTTTTTTTATGACTATATGTAATATATATATATATATATATATATATATTACATTTGGTCATGTCAAATATGAAATCACAATCACAATCTACCATCATAACCCTTAACACAAATATAAAATCATGTCAAAGTGATAATGGTTCCATTTATGTTCAAGGTGGCTGATTAAAGGTTGTGTTTGGTTAATTTTTAAAATATTATAATTGGTTAATTTTTTAATATGTTTTTTTTTTGTTCATTTTACATTCTTATCAGATAATTGTTCATCAATTAGCTTATCAGCTACCAACTAGCTTATCAGTGAGTTTGTCAAACATAGTCTAAGACTAAACTATAATTTTGGTATGTTTGGTTTAACATATAATTACAATCAAAGTTAACGATCAATATGTTTTGCATTTTATTTTGAAATCGGTACGTCAGCCTAACATCGTTAGTTGAGGGGTAATTTTGTCCTTTTACCCATTCTTTAAGATATAAATATATTATATTTTGTGTTAGATTTTCATTATCGCTTTTTACTAAAAATTTACATCTCGTTATATTGCAACATAAATACACAACTAATATATATATATATATATATATATATATATATAGGCCTAATCAAATGAGAACTAATTAGTTTGTGGTAACTGTGAGAACCAATATTAATCACAAATCAATAGATAAAT